GGGGGGCCTGTGCAGGAAGGAAGCAGAGTCGGATGGATGGCACTGGGCGTCATTTGCGGCGATTGGGCTTCCCGCGGCAACGAGAGGCTCTCGTCGTCGCACCGCGGTCTGGAATAACCGCCGTCCAGAGGCCGTCTGGGAGAGATGATTGGTTGTGGCTACCCGCCGGGCCTCTTGGCGGTGCTCTGATTGGCTTCTTGTCCCCAGCACCCGCCAGACCCGCCAAGCCGCACGCGCTGTTTTTTTTTTCTGGCGCCTGGCTAGAAAGTCAGTTTGAGCCCGCTGCCCGTTTCCATGTTTGGCGTGGCGGTACAGCCAGTTCAGGTGGATGAGCGATGTGCGCGTCTCTCGTGGTTTCCAACACCAGTCCGACCTGACATGCGGCAGATTTCTAATACAGCCCGCAAGAAGGGCCAATTGAGCAAACGGCGTCCACCACGCCCAGCTTCCATACCTAGCCCCATTGCGACCCACACCCTGTGCCTGTCAGAGCGATCTGGCGGATGCCAAGCTTCGCCCAGGACGGGATGCATCGTGGCTGGATTGCCAAGCCTGGGGCTCCCCGCTCCCATCCAAACACGGCGTCACCACACCCTTGACGACGAGTCTTGGTATCTCACCTGGGATTATACCCCGAGGGGCATCAAAGCAGCTCGGATGGGTGCGTTTTTTTTTCGGGCGGTTTTTTTCACCAACTCATCTCGTCTTTTTTTCCTTCTCGTCATACCGACCTTGTTTTCTATTGTTTGCTCTGCTCAGGCCCCCTACCTTCGAATGAGTCGGCCACCTCGTGCTAGCTAAATAAAGCCAAGATAGGTGGCATTCATCGTCGCAAGTATCGACAAACTTCGTTACCGAACTTCAGACTAAGTTCCCGTCTTGGATACCGCAGGCGCGCCACACGGTCAATAGGGAAACAGCCGCCAAAATTCAGTAGGTATTGCTTGCTACATTAGATAATGCTATACAGTTGCTCGCCCAGATTACTTGGCATGGACGACAAGTGATCTCTCCATGGCCCTCTAATCCTCCCAAAGGGCATCGCCCACAAAGCCCCGCCCTTTGCTCCTTAACAGCAGGCGCATTCCTCGCTGAAACAGCAGCACGAGCATCTGTCGGCAACGGGTTGTCAGCATGTCTTACGGAGGATGAGGCTTGACCACAAGCCGTGGGAGATGACCTACTCCTCCATGAAACCTCCTCTCAGGCTCGCATCGGTCGACATATCCGGCTCAGCGGTCTGTGTTGGGGTCATCGCAAGGTCAGCCCACAAATCGTGCTCTCAACAAAGAAGCAGATGGGATCGTCCGGCCATCCGTATTGACGTACGGGCTGCTGCATAACGGTAGCGTCCTGCGGGGCAGCATCCATGGGCTGCTGCTGCTGGGGAGCGTTGACGGTAGGCATTTTGTGGGTTTGCTGATGTACTTTCAAGTATAAGTGGGAGGTCAAGAGTGAGCTGGATTCTTAAGCTGGGTTCGCTGGTAGCTCTGTGTCGAGGTTCTCCGGCTATGGGTAAAGATGAGTGCGTGAGAGGAGAGAAGAGGACAGGAATGGAGTCGGGCTGTCGCGGCCTTTTATCCTCTCGGTGGCCCCCGCTAGACCAGCTTCCGCCCTGGGTAGCCCCTTAACACCAGCACATGCGGGTGAGAAGAACAGACAAACAAGGTTTAGTCAGAACGCAGGACCACGAAAGCCGGCTGACCACCCAGTGAGGGATTCGCTGGGCCAACTCGAGGAGAGGCCTCCGTCATATCTCCCTGCACGCGTGCCAGGGCAGGCGCGGGCAGAGCAGAACGTCTGGGTGGCCATATTGCGTGCACCTAGACGTATCAGGCGGTCCCTTCCCAGCTAGGCCCCAGGGAAGCCGTATCCATCGACGATAGCACCTCCACTCTGCATACGTAGCAGGCTAGCTCTTGCGGGCCGCGCGTGGATGGCTCGGTGGGTTGGTTGGCAACAGGGCCGTAACCAGACCCCGGACTGCTAGCTAGGTCGGTAGTCTGGAGGCATACGTCAGCTCTCGTCCACTTTGTAACGTGGAGGCCTGCATGGCGCCAGGCTCATGCTGCCTCGGAACCTCCGACTCGCCGGAAATACCATGGGGGAAACGGCCCTCTGAGTGGTTTTCGGGAGTCGGGAGCCCTAAAAAGCTTGTGTTGCGACTGGGGTGGCCCATTTGTGGAGTGCCTGTGTGTGCCCCATGGAGCACGGTGCCTTCTCACGGTCCTCAACTCACTCAACCAATGCGGGCGCATAACCGGCTGTACTATGTACCGAAGTAGGCCATAGGTAACGTAACCATGTCTCAAGCAGCCACCGAGCTGTATCAACGATGCTCCCTTATCGCCCTGTCAAATGAGGACCTCCCAATTTCCCTAGCCTTCCGACCTTGCCTTTTGAGGCAGCAAATGGAGGTGGGGCCTTGGGGACTGTTTCTTTCCGTGTCGGTCTGCAAATAAGGCCTAGTTGTTGAGATGTGCTCACGTTCTGGACTGTTATTGTTCGCGTTGGGCGCTTGAAGTTGCGTCTGCCCAAGAGCATTTTCTGATGTGCCCGTTGCTTCGGTTCGGGGCGGGAGGCATCACGAAGAAAAAGCTTGATTCAATCCACCCGCATGCCTCTAATGCGACTTGGCTTCGGGCCCTGTATCATGGCGCGTTGCATCGATTCTGGCCTCACTACGTTAACCTTCTTGGCTTCTTCCTTTTTTTGTTTTCGTTCCTATTCATTTTAACCATTTCGTCCACTTCTATCAATGGAGGATTCCTACGTTGTTTTTGTTGCATGCACAGGTCGCTGAATGCCGAGAGCAGGCCTAGTTTCCGGAAAGTCAGCTTAAATTCATTGGGCTGGGGCTAATCCCGCACGGGATCTTCAACACGCTCTCCTTTCCTCCTGCGGGCAAATCTTTCTCTGTCATGGTTCCCATGTGAGCTCGTGCAGGTACTCTTTCGGGCACAAGATGCTGTCATTCTGGAATTTCCTCACAGCTGTCCTTTCCGTCCTCGGCGACCTCGACGACCCGCGTTGGTGGTACGTCCGCTCCACCACGACAAGTAAACCCGAGGACCCCATTAAATCCGCTGTAGTCAAGATTCAAGAAAGCAGACATCAGTATCGTGAAGCCCAAAGTAGTGGTAATTGCAGCCATATCTCTGTGCTTGTACTAGACATACGAATCCGTTGGAAGTAGGATAAAAATAACAGAGAACATTTGAAGCTTGAAACGCTCTTGACAGCTGTCATGCCAAAGCCTAGCAAGCTAAAGACCTTGTGTAACAATCGCGATGTTATTTTATTTTCGCCCATTTTATTTGTCCTCAACGGAATGAAGGAGAGGGCATTATGATCTCGGACGGAAAAATCCCAGCGTGCATCCGTCGTGTCTTACTCAGCCCGTCTGACCGTTGTCTGGCGCAGAACGCCCACCAGCGGTGACCAGGGGCAGAAAGGAAGCGACCAGTCAGAGGCATGGGTATGTGTGTTTGGAGGATGTTGTCATTGTCAAGGGCCTTGTGAGCAGTCGGCTAGGCTAGGCGGTCGGTTGGCGGGAAGTCGTCAGTCCAATCATGGCCGAAAAGGGCAGCCCTGGATGTACGGAAGGTGCGAGATTGGCGCTTGTCGTGCTCAAAATCTGTCAAATTTGCATTGGCTTTTACGTTTTGGCATTCCCGGGAAAGGGAAAAGGGGCTGCCTGTCTGCTACCATTCAGATCTGCGGCGACTCGTTTGCGGACAAGGGGTTTGACGCGCTTCCGGTGAAAGAGATAACAGCAAAGATAGGCAACTACGAAAATGTGTCTTCTTCGTTCTTCTTCTCCTGAAGATCCTGTCTCTATCCTTTCTGTTGTTCTTTCACCTATCGCTGCCCTACGCACTGCGCATTTATAGGTCTTGACGCGCCGCGCCTAACTACAATCTGCAGCATTATCTCCTTCGACCTGTCCCAATACATGTGAGGGATTGCGACCCAACCTCCTGATTCGGATCCTTTACGGCAGGGAGGGACCTGGGTGGAGGAATTCGACATCCCCTAAAAGGACCCGCTTTCAATTGGTCCTTGTCCGTGCTAGCCGGCAGTGGTCTAGCGCCCGGACAGGGGAGAAGGAGGTTTGAATCGCCTCAACGCCCGTCGCCTAAATTCGACTCAAGATCAGATTCCTCTCAGCTTCGCTCAAGAAAGCCGCAACCAATATTCTGCATCTGTTCCGAGCCGCTGCCCTTTTCTTTCTCGTACTCGCCCGATCCGATTACAGACACCCGCAGCTGCTCGATACCCAGCCGGTAATTCCACCTCGCCAGAGGTTTCCTGAGACAGAGGTCTCCATTAACTTTCTTGTTCTGACATTGGCGCGACGGATTTCCAGATCTGAGCAGGGGAAAAAAAAAAGGGCGCCAAGGGAGGAGAGACAGAAAAAAAAAAAAAGAGACACCAAGACAGCGCCCGCCTGTCCGAGCCACAAGCGGGAAACACACCCTCCACGCCCCTCCTAGCGCAGATACGAGCAAGCAGCAGCCACGCGCCATCGCGGCCGTCGTTCCTTCCGCCGTCGCCGCCTTGCTCCGTATTCAACCTCACGCAGAAAGTATCTTACCTGCATATCTGCAAGCTGCTGGCCTGCAAACGGGCCTCTGTCCAGCCCGGAGCACGACGGTCGAGTGCGGCACAGTGTTTGCTTGCGACAGAGTGGAGGCTTATCAGCAGCAGAGAACACCCATCACCAGACAGGCAGGAAAGCGCAACGCATCGTCAGTCAGCCCGGACAAATTGAGGACGGCAAGCACGACAGCGTTGGCCCGCAAAGTTTGGTCCTGTTTGGACATTTTGGTTCCTCTGCACACGCTGCAACAAGTCGCATTCCTCCCCCTTTTGCTTGCGCAATTTGTCTGGGCGTCAGGAGTTGATCTTGGCAATCTCTGCGGATCGGGTCCCACATCCAAACTGGACCCGTGTCGCTGTCCTCAAATCTTTTGCGTCCCTGTCGGGTTTTTATTTTTATTATTTTGTTGTTTTATATTTGCTGTTTTTTATTTTTCGCCCGACGTTCCTTCTTTTGTTTCTTCCACGCGCACTGCAAACCGCGAAATCCAAAAGCGCCATCCGACCAATCGACGGTGCCGATCGACCCTAGAGGCCGATACCTCCCTCCCCCGGGAATAAACCGTCTTACCGAAACACCTGTGTGTGGTCGTGGCCAGCTGGTTCTCTCTTGCAGGAGAGACCACCTGGTTGACAGCCGCACCGACAACACCGAAAAACTGGCTTTCCTAACCGGCTCGTCGTCGTCGTCGTTCAGCGACCGGCCCGCACGCTCTCACCACCGACGACGCTCCTCCGCCTCGGTCGTAGGAGCCTCTGGACCTCCCACACAGGTCCTCGGGGTCCACCCCCGTCACCAGCCCACGCTGCTCTCGCCGATTCCGGGTACGTTGAGACATTCCGTTGCGCCCTCGTACCGTTTGATTTTGTCCCTTGTGGGTTGCTGCCTTTGACACGGCTGCACCACCACCCACGCCCCCTTCTTATCTCACTTCCTATTTGATCCCCCCCCCCCCCCCCCCCCCCTTTTTTTTTTTTCCTTTTTTTTTTTTCGTATTCGAGACAGTCAAGCTCCCTTTTTAGCTCCCTCGCGCCTTCGTACTTTATCCCTCGCAGCCACCATCCCGCGCTCTGCCTCATGCAACCCCGTTATAACTGCACGTCGTACCCGTCGGTTTGCAATGTACCACTAACAGAAATTTTCGTGAAAATGGCAGGCACCCCGAGCGATCCTGACATGTCATTATCTCGAAGCCCATCTCCCGTCCCCGGCGGGGGGTGGGCGAGCCCCGGCCTCAACATCACCGGCAGCGGTCGGAATAGCCCCTCGAGGGGCTTCACAAGCGGCAATAGTGGCAGCAGCCCCGTCATATGGGAGGGCGCGCGCCTCAAGAACGGCGCCTCTAACAGCGGCGCTGCATCCGGCGGCTTCAGGACCAACACCGGCAACCAGCGTGGTATCATGGGCCACGTACGGCGTTTATCGTCCGGCCTGCCGCTGTGGAACAACGGCCGCGCCGCGACGCCCTATGCCGAGAAGGAAAAGCTTGGCCGGGGGAGGTGGCATGCCGATAACTTGCCGCTGGTTTCCAGGGTTAGACGCGCCTATTCTCGGACAAGTAGGAGAACTCGTATTGTCCTGTGGGCACTGGGACTCATCCTTCTTGCGACCTTGATTTTTTACAATACCCGTATGTTGCACTGCCTCTCGGAGCAGGACTTGGACAACCTGTTTGCCCCCTTTGGTCTCGTGTTCACTCAACACATTTGAGAGAGCCCAAATTCTAACACCAAACTCACAGCCCTCGTCTATCATTACCGGAGAGCACCGGCACTCGGCGGAGGACAGAAGTTCGTTGTCATCCTTGCTGCAAACGTCGGCGGAGGTGTCATGGAATGGAAGGGTGCTCGGGAATGGGCTATCGAGCGCGATAGCACCCGGAACAAAAAGAAGTATGCTGCTACATGGGGCTACGACCTGGAGATTGTCGACATGAGCACCAAGAAACGCTATGCCCACGAGTGGCGTGAGAGCTGGGAGAAGGTCGACTTTGTCAGGACCTGCATGCGCAAATACCCAAAGGCTGAGTGGTAAGCCCCCATTTCCCCCTAGGTGTAGGGGAGTTGCGAGCAACTTATTTGCGCTGGAAGAGTCGGTTGCTGACATGCGTTGGTGGTGTACTTGCAGGTTTTGGTGGCTGGACCTCAACACCTTCGTGATGGAGCCTTCCTACTCCCTCCAGAGCCACATTTTCAACGATATTCAGAAGCACGTCTACCGCGACATCAATGCCTACAACCCCCTCAATATCTCGCATCCGCCGACCGACACGTACCTCGACGTGGAATCTCGGAGCTCTGATGGCGATGGGAACCCGAACTCGGTCAACCTGATCCTCTCGCAGGACTGCTCGGGGTTCAACCTGGGCTCCTTCTTCCTCCGCCGGAGCGCCTGGACTGATCGGCTTCTCGATGTGTGGTGGGATCCCGTGGCCTACGAGCAGAAGCATATGGAGTGGGCGCACAAGGAGCAGGACGCGCTGGAGCAGATGTACGTGGCGCTGCCCTGGGTGCGCAAGCACACGGGCTTCCTGCCGCAGCGCATGATCAACAGCTTCCCGCCGGGCGCCTGCAACGAGCACGGCAACGACTCTCGCATCCACTACGACGAAAAAGACCGCGACTTCCTCGTCAACATGGCTGGCTGCGAGTGGGGCCGCGATTGCTGGGGCGAGATGTACAACTACCGCGAACTGAGCTACTACCTGAACCGCACCTGGTGGGAGCGCTTCAAGGAGGACTTCCTGGCCCTCATCTGGTTCAAGCTCACTGGCCAGAAGGTCAAGTTCTGAGCGGATCCCGTCGGCCATGTTTTCGATATTATACCCTTATCGAATCTGCTTGCATTTCTGCATTCTCGGACACGGGAGGGACTTGACGTCATTGAGAGATGAGACACGATAATCAAGCGTTCTGCGCCGCTGGTGGTGGGATTAGTCTTTGATCCCCATTCTTGTTTGATCGACCACGATGGATCGATGTGCCGCTATCTTGCCTCTACAGGAGGATGGCGCTTCTTGTTCTCCATTTCTTGTTCCCCCTTTATATTTCTGTTTCACCTTTTCGACCTGCACCGCTTTTTTTTCTTCTTTCCCTGCCGCCAGCGGCTGCTCTCTGCATTTTCTCGGCTTTGGAGTAAGGAATAGAATATTAATGTTTACCATGTGCATCCATCAGGCGTATTTTCTCTTTTCCCTCTTGTTCACTGTGTGTATTACGTCTTTGATTGGGTTCTTTTTATACTCTCCCAGTCTGTATACTGTTCGTTTCTATAGATTCTTGTACGGCGTCACTATTTTTCCTTCTGGTTGGGGAATCGCCTGTTATGTGTTCCGGCGGCAATGACAAGGCGAGCAGGTAACTGATCACGGTATCGTACATTGATTGATTGATCCCATCTTGCGGGTGTCTCTACGCGAGTATGGGATGCACAGCATCCTGCGCCCTGAGACAGGTAAAGCGTCTCTAGGTCTTCTGCCCACGCATGTGGCACGCAAACAGGTGCCTGTCTCCTCGACGCGACGTTTGCGTCCCACGTGTTGCAAGACCTCCCGTGGCGCTAGACAAGACACGGCTTATCTTGCCGAAGCTCTCTCTATTTTTTTTTTCACATCGTTATTTCATTCTTTCACCGTGGCCCTTGTGTTGTACAACCTAGGCGTTCGCAGCGTGCGACGCCAGGCCTCTGGCTCGCCCGCCTGCAGCCGCGTTTCCTTGGCAACGTCGGCCGGCTGCTTTCGCTATCGCTTGTCCTGGCCTCCCTGTGTCGCCTCATATCTCCCCCCTAGGCTCTGCGGCTCATGTAGCCGTGTCGCTTCCCGGGGCGGCTACGGTCGCGTGTCGCGCCGAGGCCGAGGTGGAAGTGGCTCAGAGCGGAACGTGATCTCGGCAAGGTGTCGGACCATGTATTCCGTCAATGTTTCTGATATATCGAATATGATTGTGGCAGTCATCATTTCTTCTTCGTATTCTCTTCCATCAACTCTGGGGCCCCATCAAGGCTCGTATTGTCATTGTTTCAATCCATTTTCATTTCTTGAGGACGAGGTCCAATATTGGACAGAGCAGCGTGGGATAAATGTGTATAATAAGACGTGGTATAAAGAGCACAATCTACGGCGGGGTATCGAGGCTAATAGAACCCTAGCTATCCAGGAAAATCCGCCCGAGAAAGACGGCTGACGTGACAAAAGACATGGATAAGTAGAGTAAAAGAAGAAGAAAATAGTAAGAATAAAAGGTAAATAACGCCCATAAAGCAGTTACCAAGATGTCCGAAACATTAACGCCGGCCTGCCGATAGCGCCAAAAATGTGATAGAAAAGAGGAAAGGAGCAGCACCAGCGAGCCTACTTGGCTTTGAAGGTGCTGATAGTCTTGATTTGCCAATAGGCTTCGGTAAACTTCTCGGGGAAAGCGGCCACGAAATCTTTACATTCCATGGCCATGTTCTTGCATCCAGGGCATTTCGCATCATTTCCCCACTCATCGGTCTTGCCAGCCCATTGACCACACTGCAACAAAGGAAAAAAATCAATGTCAGCTTCTGCGCAGGGCAAAATAAGAATCTCACAGACGGGGATGTGGGGCGTTAGGTAGATGAGGGCTCTCGGGCTTACCAGGGTGATGTTGATGATGATTCTATGGTCCCTGAACTTCCTGAAGTCGCAGTTGGTGAAGCTGGCCATGGGCTTCCCCCACGACGCGGGGTCGGGGTTCTTGATGTCGGGGATCTTGCCGCCGCGCGGGAAGAACCAGACAGAGATGCGGGCGTCGGTCCACTCCATGGCATATACGCCGCCCCTGCGCTTGTTGAACTCGGTGCCGTAAGCCGCGGGCTCTTTTGTCTCTTGTTTGCAGCCGGTCCCACCTCTGCCCTCGTTGCAGTTGCCCTGAAAGGTGGTCAGTTCGTTGGTGGAGCCCTTGTTGGAGGCTGCTTTGCAGCTCTCATCCATGTGCAGCGAGACGGAATTGGTGGTCATGGAATTGATGCCCTCCATGATGTCAATCTCGCCCTTGTTGGGCCATCCGATGCCATCCCCCTCCGTATTGCCGAAGGTCCAGATGGCAGGCCACACGGCAGGGCCCACGGGCGCGTGCGAGACGTCGAATATGAACAGGGTGTTGCTGTTGTAGACGTCTGCGGACTTGACTCGGACGGATTTCCTCTTGATACTGATCCCGTCGTCTTTACGAGCGAGCAGCGGTTTTTGTGGTGACTGTTGGTTCGCGGGAGCAGGCTTGGCGGGAGCAGGGGCTGCCGGCGCAGGGCTCCCGCCAGTGCTTGGAATCTTGGTGCGATGATCCACCCCGATATATATCTCGCCATCCTTCACTCCCAGGAGCTTGTCGCCTTTCGCGGTGGCCTTGTCCACGTATAGAACATTTCCGAGGGTTGGGTCGGTTTCCATCGCGTCCATCTCAAACTCCGATTCAAAGTTCTTGCTGTCGACGTGTTTGTAAAGCTGGTAGCTGGCGGCCTGAGATGTGCCAAACAGGCATACCAAGCCGAACAGAGTTCTCGAAAGAACCATTGTGTCGGGAGGGCTTAAGGAATTTTATGATTTGGTGGTTGGCCGTATAAGCCTGAAAGAGGGACGAACCGTCCAGTGCGAGTCGAACTTGATAGGGGCTTGATGTGAGATCTTTTGGTTATATTGCGAATAGGGGCTGAGAGAGAGCTTCCTGGTGCAAGGGATACAGAAAAAGAGCAGGCCATCGCAACAGATATATACAGGTCAAGGAATGAATTCACCTTGGGTGGTACTACGATATGCTACGATATGGGGCTGTGAATTGTTGCCAGAAACGGAAGTAAGCGGTAGGTGTGGAGAGTGGCTACCGCTGTCACACAGAAAGAGCAGGCATGAGGCGCAGAGCAATAGGGGTGCGGTGAGCTGAGAAGCGCAGAGCCTGCACAGCCCGACACTGGGCCGCCGCGCGAGGTCCCTGGGACAAAATCCGGGGCAAAGCCAGATGGCCGAAGCCGAGGATCCTCGCGCCTCAATGAATGGCCATGGTGTGAGTCTCTCCAAAGCAGCATATACAGATAATCCCCTGAAGTGAACCGTGGTGATGGTGAACTAATTGTGCGGAATGGAGAGGCTTCCCATGCGCACCTCATGCGCGTTCTGCCACCGCCAACGCGGGACTCGAGATCTCCAAGGGGCACCTCGCTGGGGATAGAGAGAGAGAGCGATTACCCAATGCTTCTAGGAATTTACCTAGGCGAAGCGATGGTAGTCGGGCTACGCTTGGAGACCTATGCTGCGCGATACTCGATGCTGGGTCCGTCAGGGGGCTGCTCATGGGACGGGAGGTTCTGGTAGAAGTTGCTGGGCCGCTTTTGGTCGGCGCGGTGGGAAGGCTGGACAGCTGGTTGTAGTAAGTCAGAGTAAGACGTCGCGGACCCACGTCAATTCTAAAAAAAAAACACCAACAACCCCCGCCCGCCTGGGCGACTCTGCCCCAGCCCAGCCCCGGCCCTTATTGGATTGCGGCTATCTTTGTTGGGGCAGCACCTAGGTGGATCCGCAGTGGTGTTGGCGCTATTGATCCATCACCACACATGTGCAGCATTCAGCATCCATGCATCTTAAGCGCTTTGGTGCCAAAAACCTCATGCCCGCCAAGGCCCGAGAAGATGCCGTTCGGGATATTATTACGTGCCGGGGGCATGGGCCTCGTGTGGGGGACGTAGCCCGAGTCCTCGCTGTATGTTTATTTACACTGACGCCGTCTATCACTAACCATCAGCCGGTTGTCACCTTTCCCCTACCTACTTGCCTGTCAATCCGCGTATCTGCAATATGGCCGAATCCAGCGCCTCAGATGTCAAGTCTCTCCCTCTTGCACCCCTTTGCGGGGTCTGTAAAGAGTTTATTGATACCATCGCCTCCTGGGATTTTAAGCAACCGAGCGAGGAAGCCCGTTTGCTTCGCGCTGGCCCTGATAGTCGCTGGGGTGAGTATGGGTGGCGCTTCCACCACTACGGATCCTCGGAGGAAATCACCAAAAGCGCCGAGTTTTGCTCTCTTTGTCGGCTCATTCTCGACTGCTTCGAACCGGACAAGACGCGAACGATGTCAGAGCTCACGTTGGACCCGTGGTATGGCCAGAATGGCGGATACCCAGCGACCCCCGGTATCCAGGCAGGTTTTCTTGACGAGAATTCTCGCTGGTCGTATGGCCTCCTCCGTACCAGCTGGCTACGTCCCTACTTGCACGCCGTGGAGGAAGGCGACAATTATTCATACAATCGGTTATATGAGCGAGACGTTCCGGACAGCGCTGCGTCGCAGGACTGCCTTGACACAATCCGCTACTGGCTCAAAGACTGCTCTGAGCGACACCCCAAGTGCCGTGCTGCCACCCGCTCAAGTGCTCTCCCCACAAGGGTCATCGATATCGGCAACCTCCCGGATGACACGCCTATACTCTACATCAGTCATGGCGAGAAGGCGCCGTACGCCACGCTCAGTCACTGCTGGGGCGGGCATGTCCCGCTCGGAACAACGACGGAAACCCTGGCGGCGCACCAAGATGGCTTGTCGGCGGACCGGATGCCGCAAAACTTCCAAGATGCCATCCGAGTCACCCGCCTAGCCGGCCTCCGCTATCTCTGGATTGACTCGCTGTGCATCATCCAGGACGACCCTAAAGACTGGGCAGCCGAGGCTGAGCACATGACGGCCATCTACCGCAATTCCACCCTCACGATATCTGCTCTGGACTCGAAAGGACCTGACACTGGGTTTCTCGTGCCAAGGACCAAAAAGTCCCTGACAATCAGCCCCAAAATGGCGATCCATTGCTTTCGCCAGGGATTCAGCGACGCAATGGAGGACAACATCCTAACCAAGCGCGGGTGGTGTATGCAAGAGCGGCTCCTGTCCCCGGTTGTGTTGCATTTCGGGCGAGACCAGTTGTATTGGGAATGCTGCTCCTTCACCTTGGAGGAAAGTCGCGGCTGCTCGACCGTGAACTACGAGTCCAGCCCAGAGGACAACAGCGGCGGACCAGCCGGCGTCAGCTGCGGGTTGAGGAGTGATGGGTTGAGGAATTATAGAATCCCTGCCTTCACCAGAGCGCGCAAAAAATTCCATGTGTCCGGGCCTGGCAGCTGGTCCATTGCGGTGGAGGAATACAGCCACCGCAACATAACGTTTCGCCGCGACAAGCTGGTCGCGATAGCGGGTGTGGCAAAGTTGGTTCGTCCTGCCGAGGCAGAATACTCCTACATTGCTGGTCACTTTATGGGTGGGGGCTACGACATTTTGTCCAGTCTCTTCTGGTCGGCCCGTGTCAAACTCACCAACGGGAAGGCCCCAGGGTTCAGAGACATTGAGGCTCTCACAAGGCCCGACGACAACTACCCGAGCTGGAGCTGGGCCAGCGTCGATGGAGGTGTCGAGTTCCACAGTCGTTCCGGGGAGGACAGCGGCATCGAGCTCCTGGGCGTCGAGGTGGATGTTGGCAGGGATGACTTCATGGCGGAAAGAGTGAAGGCGAGGCTGAAGATACGGGCTTCGATTGCGAAGCTACGCTACACTCCATGCGAAGCAAAGGAGGATCGTGAAATTGTTGGTACAATTTGGCCGGTCGGCCATACCGCCGCCATGGACGTCGACCGGGCTAGAGACCGAAACTGCTGGGTTTTGGTAAACCCCAGCGGCGGCGGCGTGCTTGTCCTGGACGAAGTGAGTATAGGTGTGTTCCGTCGCGTCGGCTGGGCTGAGCCTCAGTCGCTGACCGACCAGGACCCAAAGGTCGAGTATTGCGTGAAGGAGTTTGAGCTGATCTGAAGACGGGCCTTGACTAAACCCAAAATATCATGTTATTCTATCATGCTACTGCCAGCTTCTTGAAAGCAACCCATTCGCGCCGCCCTTGTCCTGTTCTTCTATCCTAAGAATAAGCTCCCCAAACAGCCCGTTGGCCCAGCCGAACCAGGACCTCGTCCAGACGTGCTCGTCCCACGAGTTGACGGACTCGTGCACGACCCCGGACCCGGCCGTCGAGTCGAGCACCATCTTCAGCTGCTCCGCCACCTCGTCCCGCACCTCGGCGGGGGCCCTGTCGCTGCTCAGGGGCTCGTAGGCCGTCAGGCCCGCCACCAGGGCCGCCATGGGCCACGCCCGCCCGGGGCCGAGGTGGGGCCCGCCGACGGCCGAGATGACGGGCCCCTTGGCGAAGTAGGGGTTCGCGTCGCTGAGGACGAACTTTCTGGTGTTGCGGTAGATCTGGGCGTAGTCGCGCGTTTCCGTCTTTTGCTGCTGCTGCTGTTGCTGCTGCTGTTGGTGCTTGGACCTCTTTCTTGTCCCATTCTTCTCGTCCCGCGGCTGGACTCTAAAGGGCGAGTTGCTCTTGGCAGCACCGGCGACGGAAGCCGAGGAGTTGAAGAAGAGCGGGATGGACAGGAGCGACGGCACGTTTGCGTCGTCCATCAGGTTGGCGCCGCCGAAGCCGTCGACCTCGTAGGCGATGACGTCGCCAAAGTCGCGGTGCGGCACGACGGCGTCGGCCTCGAAGCCGGCAAAGATCTCCTTTGCGAGCGAGCGCATGTCGGCGGCCAGGGCCTTGCTGTCGGCGCCCGGCAGCTGGTCGGCGATGGGGGCGGCGTCCTCGAGCGCGGCGGCGAACATGACGTTTGCGGGCACGAGGAACTGGAAGATGGTGGCGTCGTCGCTGGGCCGGAAGGCGGTGCGGACCATGCCGTCGCGGCGGCTCGGGTTGCCCAGCCCGTCGTTCGTCAGCGTCTCACTCCCGCGGTTGGTCCAGCCCGTGAAGGTCCAGGCCGACTTTTGCACCTTGCCGTCGTCGGCGTAGGTGCCGAGCTGCATCGCCGCCGAGGCGTCCACCGCCGCGCGCACGGCGGCCTTCCACTTGTACTTTCCAAAGAGGGACAGGTCGCCCGTGCGCTGCGCGTAGGCGGCCGAGACGCGCAGGAACGAGGCCAGCGAGTCCAGCTCCCACTTGCAGTCGAACACGAGGACCGGGTCGTAGGGCGGCTGCGGGTTGTTCTGGTGGAAGGCCCCGTTGTGCGTCGGCCGGATCCCGGACTCGGGCGGCGGCTGGAAGCTGTGGCAGTAGGGCGAGATGGTGATGTAGCGTGCCTGCAGGTTGATGAGCCCCCGCCAGAGCCCGGCCAGGGAGTCGTGGGCCTTGTCGGCCTCGAGGAGCGGTAGGTACGAGTAGATCTGGGACGCCGAGTCACGCAGCCACATGGCGTCGATATCGCCCGTGATGACGTACGTGAGCTCCTCGTCCGTCTCGGGCCCCAGCGCGGGCGAGCTCTGCCCGCCGAACCCGGCGGCGGCCCCCTCAGTGCCAAGCTGCTCCCGGGCGAACCCCCGCCACTTGATCATGGTGTCCAGCGTGTTGGGGTAGCTGTTCTCGAAGAGCCGGTACAGGTCCGGGTCCTTGATCACCGTCTTCATGCGGACCAGCAGCGCCTCGAGAGACGACAGGTTGTAGGTCCGGCACCCCGGCGGCGGGCGCACGAGCGGGAACTTGCGCTTCCCCGCCGACGCGGGGCCCGGCTTCTGCCGCTGTAGCTCCTCGAACTTGAGACAGGTCGGTGCGGGGGCGGCCGGTGCTGGCACCGGCGTGACGGGGTCGGGGTTGGAGACGGCGGCTGCGGGGACCTTGGGCACTCCCAGATCTTCCTCCGCTCCTTTATTCGTGGTTTGGGGACCAGTGCTACCGGCGAGACCGCGGCCAAAAGGCGCCCCGACATCCTGTTTGATGTGGAATACCAGATACAGGGTGGTCAGGACCAGAACCGTGGCGAGGACCAGGAGCCTGGCCCGCCTGGGGGAAGCGCCAAGCAGGAAAGCCATCTCCCAGTGATTCGCAGGCCCGCCGAGCGAAGAAAATAGTGGCCGGATTGAGCACGGAAACCACAGAGTCGGGGGCGGAAATCCACCTGGAACAAAAAAAAAAAAAAGAACAAGCTAGACAGAAAATGGGCGCCCGGCTGGCGGCCATCACCACGTCAATGCTCCCCAGGCTAGCTGGCCCGCTAGACCAACTCGACAAGGGGGTGGCCAGCCACATGACAGCGGACTGCAATGCCCCGGAGGCACAGGGCTTGGCATCGCATCGTATTGGGTCCGCATTTTTCGATCTGGTGCGTTGGAGCCCTAGCTTGCAACGAGGGGCTAGCTGCTGGGGGTCAGGGAGGCGTGTGTGTGTGTGTGTGTGTGTACGGCACGTGCATCTTGGCCTTCGGCCTGGCTGGTAGAGGCCACTGAAGGAGGAGATATAACTCGGAAATAAAGCGCTGATGGCTGTGTGCGATAAAAAAAAAAACCTGGACGGATATACAGAGGTTGAGATCCCCGGATATCATCCAGCCAACCAGAGTCACAGGACGCGGCTAGTCCCATTGGTGGGATCGAGGTGGGGCGAAGGTCCTGGGTTCTAGCGGCAGTTGGGCTTCCATGGAATCAAGACAAACTGGGTGATGATGTGCAAGCCATCGACATCCTGGTTGGGAAAACTCCGACCTGGGCCAAGATGGGTTGGCCCCCTGTATATGCAAGTGTATATGATATATGTTCCCTCTTTCGCTCCCCTGATAACAGATCTTTGCCCATAGAACCAGTTCCCATGAGGCCGCAAAGGGAAAACCTAAGATAGAGTCCCCCCGGATTTTCCAGCCAAGAACGCCGAGAAATGGAGTGTAGCTGGGTAGGTAGAAACTACCCAGATACCTAGATAGCAGGTGTGCGAGGTCGTGGCTCTTAGCACTGCCGATCCCCACAAGGGTTGGGGCAGCCCTACCCCGTATGTCCCAGAACAAAGTTGGAATGTTTCAAACAGCGACCAGCAGCTCGGTAGCATCAGTGTTTTGACGCATATAATCCTGCCCATCGTCTCAAAGGCGGCTCTTCAGCTTCGGCGCGGTACTTTCGGCCAAGTCGCTGCCCGAGGTCTCCGACACGACGACAACCACGACGCATATGTCGTCGATCTTGCCTCCCCTCCACGTCTCGCGCGGGTAGTACTTCTTGACCTCCTTGGCGAACGGCCCGTCGAGCTTGGTGTTGACGCTGGCCGCCTTGGCCGCGGCCGTGATCTGGGTGGCGAGGAGGCTCTGCAGCGTGGTGGCTGATGGTTCGGCGGCGCCCTCGGCCGCCGCCGCGGGGACGGTGAGCGCCGACAGGTCGGGCCTGACGCGGGTGCCCTGCTCGGTGGCCTCCCAGGCGCCCACGGCGGCCATGGCGCGGCAGACGACGCGCAGGATGTCCTGGTTGAACAAGTTGTCCCAGACGCCGTCCGAGGCGAACACGAGAACGTCTCCGTGCCGTAATCTATGTCGCGTCACCTCGGCGTCGCGCGGCATGTCGCTCAGCTGGGCGCCGCCAAAGACGGCCATGCGCGCCATGATGCTCGGCGGCACCACCGACAGCTGGAAGGGCGTGTTGAAGGCGTGGATCTGCGGCGCCGACGCCGCGTGCACCGCGTTGGCGCGCAGCTGCACGAACCCGCTGTCGCCCAGGTTCGCCACCTCGAGCGTGCCGTCCGGGCTGAGCGTGCCGACCACGGCCGTCGAGCCGCCCGCGGGGATGGAGCCGTCGGCACACAGGGCGTCGTAGCCCAGCTGCATCAAGCGGCGCGGCGTGAGCGCCTGCGCCTGCGCCGCCTGGGGCTTTTGGGGGGATTCGGTCGGTTTGGGGGCGCGGTACGAGTAGGCGAAGCTGGCCATGTTGCCGCACAGGCCGTGGGAGAAGTCGGCCGGGTCGACGCCCGAGTCCATCCAGCCGCCCACGCCGTCGGCGACGCCTAGGGCCACGCCGTCCGTGTCGCCGACGCGTGACACGAAGAAGGCGTCCTGGCCGCTCTCGGGCCGCAGCCGCTTGTTGCGCGCCTGGTCGGGCAGGATGCGGTTGTGCGGGTTGAAGTGGAAGACGTGAGTGGCCGGGTTGTAGGGCCGGTCCTTGCCGATGTACGAGGCCGCCACGCTATACGAGAAGGTCATTGGGGGCTGCGCCGGTTCTTGCGAGGGCGCCGGCGCCGTCGCTGTCTGGTGTTGTGCCGGGGTCTGTGGCGGAGGGGTCGCGTTCGAGGACCATCGCCTGCTCGTCAGAGCGCGTTTTGGGGTGGGCGAGGCCGAGACCCACGGGGAAATGAAACGTGTCGGGGCCGAGTTTGCGCAACCTGGACCGGCGGCACTCGTGGCCGAAACTGTCAGCTACCCTCGAGATGTGCGGCCAAGACCAGAGCAAAGGGAGGGAGGGAGGGGTAGGTATGTATATACATAATGCGAATGGTCGGCCTGTTGTGACCAGGAGGCCCCTCACTATAGCTGCCATGCTTCTCCGACCTGCAAGTCCGTGCCGGCTCAACAAAAATTATGAAGGGGAAAAAAAGGAGCCGTCAGCAGCCGAGTGTAACTTCCTTCTACTCCCTTACACTGCAGGAACCAGACCGTTCTTCGGCAGATCAAACAGCCTAGACTCTGGAAGAGGCGAGCGGCAGCAACATCTCGAACTGTTGTGCCAAGAAGAAGGATATGCTGACGAGATGGCAATCCAACAACATGGGCCGAATCTGTTGTCGCGCTTGTCGTGCGCATCGCACTGACGATGGGTATCTTCCCGACGGGACCACCCAATTGCAGCCCATGCCGCGGTCTGCTGATGGTGGATTTTTTTAGCGCCGATTGCCCCGAATTATGTCATTGTCGCATGGCGTGGCTTGGCTTGGCTTGGTGACAGGGAATTGATTTTGTTTCTCATCACCAAAACGATCGCGTTCCTTTGCTTATATTACTCTGAGGCTGGAATCATCTTTTGAGCCCCTATCCTTGCGACTGGATTTCCCATTCCGTACATGACAGATTGAACAATCAACATGAAGATATTCTGTGGACTTGTATGTCTTCAATAACACGCAATTAGCAGCCTGGGTGTGCGAACATGCCATGGTTGTGGATTCTCACCACATTTTGGCCTTACAGTGGCGTGGTTATTCTTTTGGACAGAACATGCAACACACCATTTTAAAATCATACTCTATCCAAAAGATGGAGATATGAGATACAACACGAGAACGAGAACGAAAAAAACAAGAACATCTCCACGCTGCTACCCCATTTTCCGCGGCAGAGTATGACATAGGACCAGCCAAAATCTGCTTTCGACCCAGCCCTCGACCAACTTTTCAGGATGAACCCAGCTCCAAAAGATACCACATCCGACCAATAGACACACTATAGAATTGAGAAAACGGGCGGGATCGGTCAACTTGGCCCTCGCGTGTGCTTCTTCAACTCAAGCATTCACCGGCTCATAAACTACATCCACGGCCATGTAGTTCTCCGGGACATACGTGGTTCCTATAGCAAAAGTTAGCCAATCTGGGTCTTTGCCTGTTTTACACCCAGGGATAGGTAGGCAGGCTCCCAAGAAGTGCGCTCAAAACTCACCTTCGAGCCAGGTCACAACCCACTCCTTGTTGGCCCTGGGGAATGCGGCCCAGCGGCCGGTCCTCGACCCGGCGTAGTCGAGCAGGTTCTTGGGCTCGGCGGCGCGCTTGTTCGCAGCGCCGGCGGCGGGCCCCTGGATCAGGGCCCACGACTTCCAGTCGGCCACGGTGCCGACCGGGTACGTGATCGAGTCTGGGCTGCTGATCTCGGTCAGCGTCGTGAGCCCGCCCGTGCCGACGAGGCCCAGCACCGAGTCGACGACGCCAGCCGGCCACTTGTGCAGCTGCACCAGCCCGCCCTGGCTGGGGCTGGGGCTCGTGTAGACGCTGAGAGGGTCGTTGTCGTTCCAGACCCCGACCTTGTCGCCGCGCACCGAGAGGTACTTTCCGTCCAGGAAGGTGTTTGGGTGCCTGGTGTTTTGTACGGTTTGTCAGCGTGTGTGTGTGTCTTTCGCACGCCTAGGCGACAAGAGCAACTAGTGATCATCTCGGTCAGACACGATGACAGCTAGGTGTGTACTTACGCGGCGATCTTGAGTTTGTAGATCGCGAGGCTGTCGTCGGATTGCGCAACAGGGGCTGCCGAAGCCGCCGTCGCGACGAGTGCCACCACGAAACTGGAAAGCCACCTCATGTTTGCTGGCTTATAGAAATGGCGAGGTTTCAAGTGCTTGGTGCTGATTCGAATTCTTCAAGGTGTTAGGCCAATGATAGTTGTATGTCTCGGGGCAACTCTGATGATCTCTTAGCACTAGGAGGGAACTTGTTTTTTCTCTCCTCTTCCTTTGACCTTCATGTCATGGGGATGCTGTCAGGTTTTATCTTTTTTCTGTCTCGATATATTTGCCTCTTCACTTTTTCCTGTTCGACATTCGCCTCTTCCTTGTCCCCCATTCCCGCCGTCTTGGCTGACATTACCCACCGTCATGGGGTTGCTCTTTCGATGTCAACACCACGCAACATGAACGTGGTATTATGAGTGGAACGACGCCCGCTCCAAGGCTTGGGTCCCTCATGGCTCTGGTCAATCCCTTCGAGCTTTTGGAGAGAAACACTTTTACCCCAAAGCCTTCCGGGATTGGTGGTGTGTACATGTGGAGGTGGCTTGGCAATATGGCGGATATTAAAAAGCCCAGCCTTAATCGAATATATCCGCCGCCCGTCCAAGGCTACGTGCATTCCAGTCGGGAAAATGCTGAGAGTCCGTTGAGTGAAAGGGAAATGTTTTGACCTGTCCTCCGAGCGGGAGATGTCATGTCTAAAATTAAACCCGATTTTCTTTCCTTCCTTCTTCCCTACGGGCCCGGCGGTGCATCCAACAGACTCCGGACGGAGGTTAGGAAGGTGGCACCAAGATGGTGAAAGCAGAGAAGGATATAAAGAGAGTTATACCGAGGCAGCAACGAAGGGGATGGAACCTAATATACCGCGCCCAATCCAAGCTCCTGCAGAGGTACGGACTTACGGGCCCGGGGAAGGCCATCATCAGGTAACGCCACGTAGCGGCAGTTCGGCGCAGACGCCAGCATCCACCCCCGGGCCGCCGCTGCAGGAAACACACGGGCGTGGACTTGAGCCGGGGGCTTCTAGAACACAGGCTTGTCAGATTCTTGTCCTGCTTTTCTGCCGTATCGGGTCATCTCTCCAATAGGAGGCCGTTCCCGCGCGGCTGCGCCTCCATGACCGCATGCCCTTTCATCACAGCAACGCGACTTTTTCCAGGCTCGTGGAAGGTGCGAGCGCCACCGCAATTTCGTCCAAATGGCCAAGCTTCCACTTCCATGGCAACAGTGCAGGTATTGGAGCCGGGAAGGACCATTGCGGGCTGCCATCGTTGAAGTCTCCGTGCAGTTCAAAGCCTGGCATTCGACAGATCTATAAACCGGCGACCTATTTTTGGGAGCATGCCGCGGAATGTGATGACCGCGAGGCGCCCAACGCTGCCTCTCCCGCTAGAGCCGATGGCAGCCGTAGAGATCGGCTCTCGTCTTGATTAACTTCCCTCACCGACCCTTGGCTGCTCATGAGATGCTACCCCCCTCGAAGAACCCGGGGGACATGATCTATTCTGCCGAGATTGCCTGCTGAAGTTGCATTCTTGCACATGTTTTATACCCACGGGCGACATTCTGCCTTGAAAGGGATAGGAAGGGGACAGGATGGAAATTTCACTGCTACAAAAAATCTAAAAGGAGTCTTGCCTCCCGCCATGCTAGTTTTTAAAGCGGTGTCAGATACAACGCAGACTTCCTGGCAACACTGGTACAGCCGGCGCGCGTCCTATGGAGCGCCGTGTATCTCGTTCTAAAGACAAACTGCTCGGGTGCTGGGATTGCATATGTGTTTGACTGGTAGCCCTTCCTGCAGGGACAATTAAGATAATCGCGCCATCCAAGACAGCTGGATCCAATGCTTCCCCAACCAAGCCGCTTACATGCCACTCTTCCCTTTCTTCCCGTCCAGGTTCCCTCCGTGGCGTCGGATAGGTAGGTGAATATCGTCATCCGTCGAATCAGCCTGTTGGTATGTCTGAGGACGCGCAGCCTCGGTGCCCAAATAGGCAGCATTATATCTCTGTGCTGGTGATGCGTCCCATCAAACTACCACGGGCTGAGCAGCACCGCGTACCTTCAGCCTCTTCGTTTTTCATAGTATACAGCCAGCCTGTCGGGGAACGGCGCGACCTTCCTGGATGCGGAGAGGAATGGAGGCTACCCTAAAACCGGGGATTCAGCAAGCTTATCTCGCCATAAAAATAGCTCGTCGTATTCGATCAGCATTTCCAGGAATACTCGAACCATGGCAGTCACGTCCTATAAGTCTTTATCCGTTAGTGCAGACCGGCCTTGGCAGACGTCGGTCTTCGTCTTTCCTTTTTCTCCATTCTGTCAACCCCTGAGCTCTATCCCTGCGCCCAGTGTTTCCTTTTCCGGGCCTTCTTCCAATAGGATCTTACGTCCACATCTTCCGTTTCCAAACTTTGACTTGGAAACTCTCCTCTGGCCGAACGAGCGCCAGTTTTACAGACAACAATTACGGGCAGGCGTCCCAGCATGATGATGGTAGTTGGGTTACATAGCTTCAAATCTTGCAAAGCGCGGGCATGGTCTTCCTTGATTTCACTTCCCCGAACACTCTATGCCAGCGGTCGTCTCGGCAAGCGTGGACGTTTTCGAGTTCAAATCGCATCTGCTTTCCCTTCCAGCCGGCTCAAGGTGATAGCGGCTGTTATAATCCTTGCGCACCCGATCGTAGACCCCGGAATGGATAGATGCGGAGTTCGCAATACACCGTCGTCATGCTTTCTCCAGAAGCCGTAGTATAAAAGAGCCCCCAGTCACCGCCCAGGGGTTGAATGATGTGCCACAGGGCAGCGGGGCCAGCCGTCAGGATTGATAACCTTCAAGCCCTATTTCAACCACCTTTGTCCAACCTACAGCTTGTGGTAGGGATTTCATCCACATCTTCTGAAAGCATTCGTGATGCTAACGAAAGGCCAGGCAGAGCACTACCAACCTGGCTCCGGCAGGCAATATCTGCTTGCTATCCGAGCTCGAAACCAAGACCAGTGTTCCCCTCAACGCGAGCACGAACTGAAGGACTCGCCTTGCAAAGGAAGCCCTAGAAAAATGCTACTGTCCAAAGCCTCCCAGGTCCTCTTGTTGGGCCTTGTCGGAGTTGCGACCTCTGCCCCGGCTGCCGAATCATCGGGTCCATGCAAGGAACGAATCCTCTGCGTCGACGGGCTGAACGAGTGCGGTGTTCGATGGGGAGAGTAAGTTGGAATTTTGTGCATGACACCGGCTATGTGCTGCCTGTCAGACGCGTAACTGATGAATCTCATCATCCACATCAGCTGCTACGATACATGCAAGCCGCACCTCCGGCCGACGGCGCCGCCATGCAGCCTTGCGACATCGACGAAGTCCAGCTCCGTCACGAAAGTGCCCACTTCGACCGTTGAGCCCACTACTACGACCACACTCTGCGCGCCAGCCTTCCTCTGCATAGACGGGATTGATGACTGCGACAACCGCTGGGGCGGGTGAGAGTCCCTGAGCACCCTTGGTCGGTTTCTCGTCTCTACACAAGAGACAAGTGCTGACTTGCTCGAATCTACCACCGAGCAACATTCTAGGTGTTATGACATCTGCAAGCCGTGGATGAAGCCCCAGGCACCCACCGCGCCGTGCTCGCGGGCTCCAAAGACGTCGCCGACCATCACAGGGCGGGCCACCTCTTCCACCACCGGCCCGAAGCACACGCCCCCGTGCCGGCCGCTCACCAAATGCGTCAGCGGAATGAACGGCTGCGGCGTCAGATACGGCGGGTGAGTTTGTGCCAAAGTACCTTTGCCATCGAGGCGCAGGGGAGACAGTCGCCAGCCCTTCTGATACAAGAGCACACTCGCAGATGTTACGACATTTGCAATCCCGCCCTCGCCCCAGTCGCGCCCGCCTGTGCATCAACGACGGCCAAGACCATCACTCGGGCTCCCATTCCCACCAGCCTCCCACCCAAGGATGACTGCCGGACGCGGACGGTCTGCGTCGACGCCGTCAACGCCTGCGGGCAGAAGTATGGAGGGTGAGTTCAGGACCAAGACAGCATCTGCTTTCCTCGTTCTTGTATCGGCGTTCGCGCGTACAACATAGTAATTTACTGACGACCTGATACCGCCATTGCCTTCGTCAGCTGTTTCGCTGATTGTAAGCCGTGGCCTCTCTCACCTCCGCCCTGCCCTGCGTCCACATCAACCCCGAGGCCGAGTGCGACAAAAAGGCCTGCTTAGAGAGCCGAGAGATTGTGGGATTCCCAGTCGATATGTGTGGCTTCCGTATCGCTCACATGTCGCCTTGCGCGAGGGGATAGAATTCCTCAGTGGGTAGATTCAGTCAGAAAAAAAAGTTAGAAAAAGTTAGATGCCATATTTTCGCATCTTACTTCGAGTTTCGAATCACAATAGTCCCGTGAAGCTTTACATCCAGGCCTTTTATGCGGTAATCAAGTGGCATTACTCCGACGATGAATCCGGACAAGAATCCCGAAGAGCATAGCGGAGTCCGGCCCTGCGAGCTCCGGTTCGGGCCGATCGAGCGCAGCGTAGGTCACTTGGGAGCGAATTTGAGCCTCGGAGTCTGGTAAAGGTCCGGTCACGGTCAACCACTTCCTCGACATGCAGCACATGCACTTGGCGACTCCAGTGACTCACGGCAGGGAGGACGGTCCGTCCACCAGGCGGTGACGCCAACTTACAGTGGCAACGGGGCGAGAAAAGCGGACCAAGTGCGGCAATTTCTGGCAGCCTCGCCACGGAAATGCCGTTTCGACTCCTACCAAAACTTGTCTGGTTGGCGTAGCAATGCTCGCGTAGGAGGTACGACGGGTTAGTGAGGGATATCAATTGTATTTGTAATGTCTGGCAGTAATTTTTTGCTGTGCTACGCCTCACGCATTTGAGGTCTGACAGGTGTTGCGAGTTACATGACTCACAACATCATCACCAAGCCTGTCCACTCAAGAGAGCTTCATTTTTTGCGAGTGCGCGGAGCGTTCTCTATTCTCCATGCAGATGCATTCGTTGGTGGCTTTGCTTTTTGGTATTGCTTTTGTCAGCTATTAGTCCAGGCAAGATAAGCACTACCAATTGGCAAAGGCGACGAGCTGTGAGCGTCTAGATTCGTTTGGCTACCACGTTGGATGGAGCCGCTGAGGCCGCGGACGCACTACGATGCGGCCGTTGCTCAGCAGTCCCAGGCCGCCTAAGTGGGACCGTGGATTGCTGAGAAGTCCGCCCAGGGACTGGAACACCCGCCAGTCTGGACTTTTGTTGCGAATAGAGCCCGGCGAGGATGGACATGGGTTCTATCGTGAGGCGCTGAAACAAATGTTCGGTACCATCTGTAGGGGCACAGAACGTTAAAGCCGGCCCACCGACCGGGGGTTATTACGGGGTACAGTGCCCACATAGTGTACTACAGTGCTTTCAACCTTTTTTTTTCTTGCGCTTCAGCGTCCTTTTCCTTTTTCCTTTCCGCAAAATACCCAAAATGCAAAGGATGTAAAAAATATTGGGATTAAACGCGCTGGCCGGCTGGGAAAGCAAATACAACGGTTAATTTATCCCATTAGCTTATGAGAAAAAAAAAAGTCGAAAGCACTGTAATACACTATGCGAGCACTGTACCCCCTAATGACCCCGGTCGGTGGCCGACGTCAACGTTCTCCCTCTGCTCGGGAAGAGTGGAGAGATTGCATCTCTCTGACGACTTGGTATCCTAGTCAAGAAACGTGGTGATATCACTGGTCCGGTATGCTTCTCCCCGGACCCCTTCTTCATGCACGGCCGCCGCCGGCAGAAAAGAGCGCAGGCACACGGCAAACCAGGCCAGTGTCCCCTACTTTAGCCACTAATAGCCGACCAGGCGGCGTACAAGACATGTACACAGGCAGCCGGACGGAAGACGCATCGTATCGACCAGGTGGCTCATGGCTTGGCCGTTGCGCTTCTGCATCATTCGGGGTTGTGCACATCACGGGCTCTCCAACAGCACGGCTGGGCTGGACTAGCCCGGGTTATCCGTATACGCAGGGATGACGAGGGGATTTGCACAATCGAGACGCCCCAAACCCGACAGGGCCGGGCCGGGTCTTGGGTCCCCTGTGCTCCAATGGGGCAGCTCCAAACAAAGACACCCTCCATCCACGAACCGGCGGGATGCTCGGATGTGGTGGGGGTGTCGTCTCCGGAGAGGTGACCCAAGGTCCGCGGGATTTTGCGACCAAGGGGAGACTGCTGGTCTTTGGCGGGAGAATTGCAGGCGGCATCAGAGAGGACAGGCAATTGAGGATGGGCAGACGAGTACCTAGCTTGAGCACTCATGACCGGGGAAGGAGCTCCTTGGCTGCCGTAGCAAGCTTTCATCGTGTTCTATGGATGATATCTAGTCCCCGCGCCATTGGATACTACACCTGCAGAGCTGCAGCCAGAGCTATCTCCGGGCAGTGCGGTGAGCGAGGGCGGAACAGGCTGTCAGGACCGCACAACACAACCACCGTAGCGGCCTGCAGGACACCGGACAAGCGCCTGCCGTTTGACGCGTGGGCCAGTGCTCCCCTGCCCTGCCGTGAGTGGGCGAGTGAGTAAGCCGTCCTTGCCCCGCTACGCCCCAAATTCTACAATTCATCGAAACTTACCCACCCGCCTTTTTACGCCGACACAGGCGCCTCCCAAACCTGTTCTCTTCCACCCCAACAAACATCTCCACCGACGCCTCTCGGTATAAGAACAAAGGCTTCTCCTCCGTGTCTGGTCCACGCACGACCCCTTCGACGGCAGCTCCCCATTGCATACCTTCTCACCACCAACCCTCCCAACTCCCATCCAGCGCAATCATGTCTGGAGCCGTGTAAGTCCACCAACCCCACCTTGTCCACCCCGCCGTCTCCGTGAGGTATTTCGGCTCTCCGCCGTGCTCTGCTCGCGCCTCCGGATCTTTCACCGCGCCTGTATCCCCCTTCCCTTGCTGCCCAGGTTTGCCTCCAGTCGACATTCGACCTCGTTTCGCCTTGTGCCCGGTGCTGAGTGCTCGCAGCGCTCGCCTCGCCAACCTGAGCAAGGCCTTTCCGCCCCTGACATCATCGCCATCCTCGACTGAAAGGACAAGCAATGCTGACAATGCCGGAAGTGCTGATCTCGGCCTCATCGGCCTGGCCGTCATGTAAGTTTTCCTCCCGCTCCCGCATGCTCCGGGCTCTCTCCAACCGCCCGCTTCCTCCCTTGCCTGAAGCCCCCGTGGCTCTCCGGGCGGCTCGCTCGGCTTCTCGGCTGACTCGGCACTTCGTTTGCCGTTTGCAGGGGCCAGAACCTGATTCTGAACATGGCGGACCACGGCTTCACCATCTGCGCCTTCAACCGTACCGTCTCCAAGGTCGACGCGTTCCTGGCGAACGAGGCCAAGGGCAAGTCGGTTGTCGGCGCCCGCTCGACCGAGGAGTTCGTCTCCAAGCTCAAGAAGCCCCGCCGTGTCATGCTCCTCGTCCAGGCCGGCAAGGCCGTCGACGACTGGATCGAGACCCTGATCCCGCTCCTGGAGCGTGGTGACATCATTATTGATGGTGGCAACTCGCACTTCCCCGACTCCAACCGCAGGACCAAGTACCTGGCCAGCAAGGGCTTCTCCTTCGTCGGCTCTGGTGTCTCGGGAGGTGAGGAGGGTGCCCGCTATGGCCCCTCGCTGATGCCCGGTGGCCACGAGGCTGCCTGGCCCCACATCAAGGACATCTTCCAGAGCGTGTCTGCCAAGAGCGACAACGAGCCCTGCTGCGAGTGGGTTGGTGACGAGGGTGCTGGCCACTACGTCAAGATGGTGCACAACGGTATCGAGTACGGTGACATGCAGCTGATCTGCGAGGTTCGTTTCTCTACTTCCGTAAAGATGCCGGCCCCGCGCAAGGGCCTGGGTAGGCCAAGCAGGGACGGTGTAGCTGACTTTTCTCTCCCAACAGGCCTACGACATCATGAAGCGCGGTCTGGGACTGTCCAACAAGGAGATCGGCGACATCTTCACCGAGTGGAACAAGGGCGTGCTCGACTCGTTCCTGATCGACATCACCAAGGACATCATGTACTACAACGACGAGGACGGCACCCCCCTGGTTGAGAAGATCCTCGACAAGGCCGGCCAGAAAGGAACCGGAAAGTGGACCGCCATAAACGCCCTGGACCTTGGCATGCCCGTCACCCTGATTGCCGAGGCTGTCCTGGGTCGCTGCCTGTCCGGAATCAAGGATGAGCGTGTCAAGGCGTCGCAGAGGCTGGAGTACGTTGGCCGGGCCAACAGCTTCGAGGGCGACAAGGACCAGTTCATCAAGGACCTCGAGCAGGCCCTTTACGCCTCCAAGATTATCTCTTACGCCCAGGGCTTCCAGCTGATGCAGGAGGTACGTGTTCATGATGCACAGCATCCTTCCTTGATATCACTGTTCCTGATGCACTGTCTAACAAATCTGTCCGTAGGCCGCACGGGAGTACGGATGGAAGCTCAACAAGCCCTCGATCGCCCTCATGTGGCGCGGTGGCTGCATCATCCGGTCCGTCTTCCTGAAGGACATCACGGCGGCTTACCGAAACAACCCCGACCTGGAGAACCTGCTATTCGACGACTTCTTCAACAAGGCCATTCACACCGCTCAACCCGGCTGGAGGGACGTGGTCTCGAAGGCTGCTCTCCTCGGAATCCCCACCCCCGCATTCTCCACCGCCCTCTCATGGTTTGACGGCTACCGGACTAAGGACCTGCCTGCGAACCTGCTGCAGGCCCAGCGTGACTACTTCGGCGCCCACACTTTCCGCATCAAGCCCGAGTTTGCGAGCGCCAAGTACCCTGAGGGCCAGGACATTCACGTGAACTGGACTGGACGTGGCGGCAACGTCTCTGCCAGCACATACTCGGCCTAAACAACTCGAAACAAAGATTCTCTGCATGTAAATCAAGGAGGAGTTGACCATGATAAATTAGAATGAATGAAACGTTCCCCGTTCAAAAGTCTACTCTGTTCCGATTCATCCATGACCGTGAGCTGAACTGGGCCAGAGGCAACGACTCGGCCCCAGCGCATCGCCGGCCAAATCAGTTCATCCTGACTCGGAAGAGGATGTCGCGTCAAGTCGCAAGGGTGATCTTCAGTGAATGTGTTGTTGGCGGTGACGGCTTTCTTCTCAAAGGCCCGGGGAAGCCTGGCGGCAATTGAACTGGAGGTAAAATCCATTAGACGTTGGGGGAGTTGTTGGCCCAGGAAGTGTTCGGTTATGTAATCACTGGCCGCCACATTGGCAGTTTCCCTGCGCCACTTCTCGTAAGCTCCACTTTCCAGAACGCGCCGGGAGGAAATTCAGAGCTCGCGAACGAGTGCCGGATTATCGCGACAGGCCGATTGAGAGAAGAGCAAGCAAGCCAAACCAGCCAGCGCATCGGCACACCCGCATCCACAGGAGACCATCCACGTTCGATCAGCGCCAAAATCATCAACAAGATCGCCGGCCCTCTGGTCTATCTGGCAAGATGGACCCGCCACCCCCAAGCCAGGGCGTGCACGATCAATTGGTGAGTGAGCCTCGTGGCGCGTGGGACTCGACAGCTTTGCGACAATGCGACATCTCTTTGATGAGGCGAGACTCGGAGCGCTAACGCGATGGACCGCGCCGTAGCTGCCCCATGTGCATCTCATCAGCACACACAGGTACCCCTCTCTGCAGAGGATCGAGCCCCAGAGGGTGACGGAGTGGCTACTGGCCGCCCCAAGGATCTCTCGCGATGTCGCGCCCTTCTCGTGGACCTACCTGGACACTCCCCCCGATGGCTTCGTGTTTTGCGCCTGGCAGCCGCTCCAGCGCCTGAACACGGAGTTTGCGAGCGACGGCTATATCTGGAGTGGCCCCGAAATGGCGTACTGCCACGATCTCGGCAATGGCTTGGTATGTGATACTACTCGCCGTCCCTTCGGAAAGCTGGCCGGGCTACTGATATCCACTGGTTGTGGCTAACATGGCTCGCGACGTTAAAGATGCTAGAGACATACCACCAAAAGGCCGGCTTCAAGCCCATGGCCGAGCCGTACACGATGCACTCGCGTCGCCGCTACCGATTGGTGCTGGGCAAGACGCCCAACCCGAACATGCCTCCTCACCAGATTGACCCGAGCCTTTTCATCGTCCATTACGGCCCCAGCGAGCCGCAAGACCACATCCCGGCCAACGCGATCCAGGTCGACCCCCGCACGCACAGCATCCTGAACTTCCGGATGCAGCTGCAGCGTGCTGGCCAGATTGTGCGCAAGAGCTTCATGCTGAACGACCGCGCCAACTACCCCCAGATCCCGCTCCCGCGCATGTTTCCGGACCCGCACTCCGTCCAGCGACCCCCCGTGCCCCAGAATGTGGCCTATCCACCTGGTCCTCCTTCCAAGCGAGGCGCCCGTAGCCACGCTGCGCAGCAGCAGCAGCAGCAGCAGCAGCACCAACAGCAGCACCAACAACAGCAGCACCAGCATGCCCAACAACAGCACGCTATGGGTGGCCCGGGCGCGTCGCTCTTGGAGTTTGAGGATGACGAGGATACTTCGCGTGGTGATATGTTCGATCATGTGACGCCGCGCGATGTCAGCGTTGCGAGGTATACGCAGAACCACGAGTGGATGGAGGAAGTGTTTGCGTCACCGTATAGGATGAGCCAGATCGAACTGCCGGACCTAGGGTTGGGTCTCAAGGGCGAGCTTGCGTCGGTGACCCAAGGAGTTTTCGAGGCCCAGGGGGAGAAGGCCGAAAAGGAGGTGCCCAAAAAGGCGTACGTTGGCCGGCTTGACAAGGATCTCGCCGACGAATTTAGGAAGCGGGTGGACGAGAGGATCGAGGCTACCCAGGCTGAGATGAAGCGCATGGAGGCAGAACACGCCAAGACTCTGGCCGAGATAGAAAAGGGGCGCTTGTTCACGCGCGCCGAGAGGGAGCTACGCGGTCCATCCGACAACTCGTCCGAGTTCTGGCGCCTTGAGGGCAGGCTTGACGGGACAGAGGATGGCGGGCGTGCCGGCGGTCGCAGAAAAGATCCGGACGAGGTCGCGGCCACTGTCGAAACCACCGTCGGCCGCAAACCAGTCGAGGTGCAGGATGTGCTGCGGGTCCAGGCCGGCGGCTACCAGGAGCCAGTGGTGGAGCCACCGAGGGTCGAGCCTGCTTCGCAGCCGCTGCTTGACCCCCTACTGGCTGACCCAGCAACTGCATCGTCCATGTCGCGGCACCCGTCACATGCTGGCTCACAGAACAGCGGCATCATGGTAGGCGACTCGGACATCGATATGGGAGGCACAGCAGCCGGGCTGCTGGATCAGATGCACACTGGCTTTCCTTCGTCGACATCGACACCTGTCAACAACTTCCCGACGCCGCAACCACAGCTGCAGGCTGGTCACTCCAACGCAGGTACCCCGCAGGCTGGCGCCCAGGTGCCTTCGCCCCATCCGCCACCTCCAGGTCAGCAACACCAGCAGCACCCGGTTAGCGCATCACACGACGTGGACATGGCAAATTCGGCAACTGGTGAGGCCGCTGGCAAGGAAGCCACACCCCTTACCGCCCCTGATCAAGGGACGGGTAGCGGCGATTGGGTCGTAATCCCCAAGACCACGGGCGCCGAGATGCCTCTAGGTGCAGGAACCGTGGCCGCCCACGCATCACCGGCGGTTCCTGGGGCCACCGCCGGCGGTGATGTCGGCGCTGGGATGGAGCCGCAGGCAAAGCCGCCGATGGCAGGGAACATGCAGGGACTGGGTGCTAGTAAGCCTGGCTCGGCGATGGGCACACCAGACAACTTCAGCTCCCTCGGAGACATTGTGGAGGGGGGCGGGGATGCGCTGGCGAGCTTTGGCGGAACCCCTGGAGTAGGTGACGACCTGGACCTCAACATGGACATGGAAGACTCGGCCTTTGGAGATGCCTTCCATGGCGTGAGCGAGTCACGGACCGGCGATGGCGTGGGCGGCGACGGCACGCCTTCCGGAGTTGAGGGGGGCCTGTAGGAAGGGCTTGACCTCACCGACTTTCCTGAATTTCCCGACATGACCGGGTGGCTGTAAAGCGATTGGATGGGGCGCGAACAGTCTAATACGATGGTGACGACACTCGACTCTGTGGCTGCCTCTTGCTCACTTCTGTTTGCAGATGGCACGCTCGACTCGGCCAGAACTCGGCGTACCCATGCTTCCAGTACAGGACGTAATGGCGCTGCCGCTCTTGGTTTCGTTTTCTGGGTAGTTGTTATACGGCGTTAGGAAGAGCAAACCCTAGGAACAGTCTGCCATATGTGATGGATGCAGGAGCACATTCTTAGGTTATATTTTCTTGCTCCACCTTGTCGTTTTCATAAATGTGCTTCTTCGTCTTTCCCTGCCCAGTCGGCCATGTATAACATATTTCCTTGGTTGCTTTGATCAAAGGATGTTGAGATATACCTAAACCTGTACACTGTCAATTCCCCAAGCTCGGTGTACCTTCAGCAAACACGTTCGTAACCTGAAACCCTGCACTTTTTCTAGGCATGAGAAACGGGGCATTGCATGAGATGCGAGGACTGCAACGAGCAACAGGAAGAAAGATGTGCGAAGTGCGAAAATGATATGGGAAATCGTATCAGAAGAGGCGACCGACAGTACACAACCGAACTGCGGACCGTTCTACTGGCGTGCCAAGGGGTATAAGAGGAGCGACGAACGAAACAAACTACACGCTCTTTATTGCCGCCTGTGTCTGGAATATCACGAAAATGTCTTAAACATATCATCCGCCGGCATCCAACTGCTTGCCCGGCCAGCAGAATACAAAACCACTGCCCAAGCCCAGACCCAGAAAAGAGGCAACGGCCTCTACTCCAAGACAAATATACATAAACCGCAAGCAAGCGGGGCTCGTGGA